GGTAATTTAAAACCTCTTCCAGATCCTAGTGTAGTGAAGACAAGTAAAAGGAAATTTTTAACAATATAAAAAAACGAAACGAAACAGGATCTGTGTTTTAACCAGATTGGATTTATAATAGCCATAACATAATAAACACATGCATAAATGGTTTTTTTTTATTAATCTCAAAACCTTTTATTTAATAGAAATACAAAATAAAATTAACATAGAGTTTTCTTTGTACACTATCGATGGACACGTGACTGTTTAAAAAATAAAACACATTGGAGTTTATGGAATGTCAGTTAAAGGAGCTAAATCGCTAATATTTGGGAACCAGAATATGACAAAAATGGATCGCAAAGCTTAAAATAATGTTATATGAATGTATATTAACATTTAATCGTTTCCTTTTTTACTTTAATTTCTTATCAGTTATGTTCGGCGAAATACGCGAGACGCCTCAAACAAATGGCAATTCCTAGCCTCTGGTTATTCAAGTCTACACCAGTAGTGTTTATTGCGCATGCTCTCTACATAAGAATATGACGTCACAGTTTGACATGACTAGTCGAATATGTTTAGCCTCGTTGTTCGAGTCCCTTGTTACAAATGGCGCTGAAGCGCATTCTGGTACACGATTCGTGTACCAATGGTAAAATGTTTTTTTGTCTTCAATATTGGGTATCACAAGCTCATTGACCAGTGTGCGAAGAATTTGTGCTTTATCGTGTAGTGAGGAACACAGATCTGAGTTTAAACCATTGTCCAGAATTATAATTAACAGAGTCTATATATAAAGCAAATAAAGTATCACTTCAATCAAAAGACCAACTTCATTAATTAATACTAATTGTTCTTTTGTCTTCTGGTGTTTTGGTGACGTCATTCCTATCAGGAATTATGGGTTAGGGAATTCCCGTGTGGGAATTTCCGACCGTAACACATCCTAAACTATCAGGAATTGTGGGTTAGGGAATTCCCGTGTGGGAATTTCCGACCGTAACACATCCTAAATTAAATATGTTCTCTAGAGAAATAACTCTTTATTACCCTATTTAACCCCGTTCATTTATATCAGCTATTAACAACAATTGTATGTACTAAGAAAACCAGGGCCAGTATCGTGTTCGTCATTCAAAAGAGGATAAATACAATATACAATCGATACTAAAGTACATTAACGTGTGTAGGCCCATAACTGACATACATTTAAGTACATAACTGACAAAACAGTGTAATAGTAATTGGATTTTGTCAGGGAAATGTAACAATTATATAGCCGACGTATCCATGGCGAAGTTTATAACTGACAAACAGCGCCATGTTTCACGAAATCTTAACTAAAGATAAAATCCAAATTTTAGTAGATACTTCAATTTTGATTGGCTAAGAACTAAAGTCAATCTAATAATATCCAATCAAATTACTAAAATTTGAATTTGATCATATTTAAAATTTCGTGAAACAGGCCCCAGTATAATAGTAATTGGACTTTGTCAGGGAAATGTATCAATAGCCGACGTATCTAACAAAGTAATGTCCATGTAACAGCAATTTGGACATTGTCAGTAAAATGTACCAAAACTAGCTGGCGTATCCACGGCAAAGTAGTATCCTATGTTTTATAAAGAGTAAGATAATGAAGCGAGTAGAAGTCCTGTCATGTTATGCAAGGGTACGCGCGGAGCATGGAAAAATAACGACCTAGCGATCCAAACATAACTGGAACAAGATAATTAGCCAGATTATGCGAGTGTTCCTAGCTCCCCCACCCTAATCCATCGTTTTAAATCCACATCATGGTTCACTGATTTTAGAAAAATTCTTCTTTCTCGTCACCATACCAAATATATCTGTCTGTCCTTATATGGCCTTCTTTCATTGTCGAATCATTCGGAATAGCCGTGGCTGTAAATCCTCCCCAATCTAGCGTCACTTGTACATCTTTCACACATCGTTTAGACAGCACGTACGGTGGTATATCTAACAACGATAAATCATCCGTAAACCGCCCGGTTATAGCTTTATAGGCCTGTGGTAGAAATAAAACAAGGCAAATCAGGTGTAAAATTTGAATGTGCAAAAAATAAATCAAAGAAAAATGTGAGTGACAAATTACGTAAACTTTTGACATGATATCAATATCTTTCCTTGTCGATTAATCATCCGTCAATCGCTATGTTACAGGTTTATAGGCCTGTGGTAACAATAAAACAGAAGATGTAAAATTTAAATGTGTAAAAATTTATCAAAGAAAAGTGTAAGTGACAAATTACGTCACATCTATATCTTTCCTTGTCGATCAGGGTGATCACGTGGCTAAGTGGGTAAGACCGCTGGCTTGCTAGCTTGGAGGTCGGATGTTCGATCCCTGCATTGGCCGAGAAAGTTCATCCAGATTTTACGGCGTGTTTCCCCCTTGTCAGTGATGCAGAGTGGGGGGCCTGACATGGACAGTTGTCTAGTTCTTCGCACTGGCAAGCACGTAAAAGATCCCTTGACAGTTGATATAAGAGTAGGCTGCATTGCCGCTGTCCGGGCAAAATGTCCCCCATAGCACACTGTATGGCGTATGCCCGTCTTTTTTAGCCCAGTAGGAGCAGAAGAGTAAGGCGTTAAACTCCATTTCGTCTCATTTCCTTGTCGATCAAGTTTTGCAATCCCTTGGGGCCACTGATAAATCATCGCTCCTGTCGATTATTGTCGATTATTAGTAGGACCGAAAAATGGTAATAATTAATAAATTTATGTTCAACCATCTTTACCTTTTCAGCTCTGAATGTATCAAGTAATGCATTTGTAATAACCCATTCTTTTTCAAGTTTAAAATTCGATGTATTTACTTTGGATTTAGAAAACTGCAACAATCCCCACCTACAATGACAACATATGAATACATTAACTTTACAATACATTGTTTGAATTACTTTCTTAGAAAAATGGGAGGGTCTAGAACTACCACGTCCTGACCCCCCCCCCCCCCACACACACACACACACACACACACACACCCACACACACACCATGTAAAAGGAGGGAAATGGTAAAAATAACGAATTGCTACATAAAGAGGAAATAATTACTGGTCTTCACCCGCTTAGGGTTTACAGAGTTGTGTCCCATGGAATTTAGATCTCAAATTAGTTTCGAATGAATTCAATTATTAAACAACCAGTCCTCAAAAAAATAGCAGAATGCAGGTTTCCTTTTATATTATTATATTATTTTATATTATTCAGGAGAAAATTAGTTTTTACAATTTATCATTTAAGAGAATATAAGTGAATAGGATGCAGTAACAAGCAAAACTGCTTATATAAACCGTTTCCATAGTTACGATCATTTCATATAATGAAAACTATAAAGATATATATCTTTAAGATGTTGTGTGATTTAAACCAAAGGTGTTGATAAAATATATAAGTTTAAAGTTGGAAGTACGGAAGACGAAAATAATTATTTTAGAGGTTTGTTTTTGAGAGGTGGGTGGGGTTGGGAAGTGTAATGTTCATTCCACACAAACAGGCTAGTGCTCTTGAGCAACCAGTTTGTTGGATATTCAGCGCTTTATAAATAGATTATTATTATTATTTCGGGATTATTGTAGTAAATTATCATTACAGCGGACTATTTAGCAGCTGGAACGTCACGAGAAGAGGGATTGAATCACAACATTAACCTCACTGATGCCTAACAAAAGACTCAGGGGGTGCTCGATTGTCAGTCCGGAACGTCCCGAATTAACAAAATTGCAATCAAGTGAAATGGAATTCAGCCCTGTCACAGTTCTGCCAGTCTCGACAGCTGAGGTGGTGTGAGTAGAATCGTGATCTATTTAAAGTAACAAATATTTTTTTTCAGCTGTCATGATTTGTTGAGATATTTTTATGCAGTCGTTACTTGCGTTGTACATCAAAATTCTCCTTTTCACTATTGACACTATTTTTGGAATTGAGAGAATTTAATTCCGGAACGTTCAATCGGGTGCCCCCAACCGCTTCTTCTCCCCCACACGATACCTCCCACACCCTTGACAACCAAACATCCTGAACTCCACTGGCATATTTTATGCAGATGTTTTCTGAATGTATTACCTGTCTGGTAGGTGAATATTAGATACACCTGGTGAACTCCATACCCACCAACTAGCATCAACATCTAACCTCTACAATAATAAAAATACAGCATGTAATCTTTATGTATCCTCTTCAATAACATAAACACAACATCTAACCTCTACGATACTATGACCACAACATCTAGCCTACAATAACATACACAATATCTTACCTCTACAAAAATATAAACACAACAATTAACCTCTACAATAATATAAACATAATATCTAGCTTCTACAATATCTCACCTCTACAAAAATATAAACACAACATCTAACCTCTACAATAATATAAACACAACATCCAACCACTAAAATATTATAAACACAATATCTAACCTGTACAATAATATAAACACAACATCTAACCTCTACAATATTATAAACACAACATCTAATATAAACACAACATCTAGCCTCTACAATAATATAAACACAACATCTAACCTCTAAAATAATATAAACACAACAGCTAGCCTCTAAAATATTATAAACACGACATCTAACCTCTACAATATTATAAACACAACATCTAGCCTCTACAATAATATAAACATAACATCTAACCTCTAAAATGATACAAACACATTTGACCTCTATAATAATATGAACACAACATCCAACCTTTAAAATATCTAGCCTCTGTAATAATATAAACACAACTAAACTCCACAATAATATAACACAACATCCAACCTCTACAATATTATAAACACAAAATCTAATACGAACACAACATCTAGCCTCTACAATAATATAAACACAACATCTGACCTCTACAAAATCTAACCTCTAAAATAATATAAATACAACATCTAACCTCTACAATATCTAACCTCTAAAATAATATAAACGCAACATCTAACCCCTAAAATGATATAAACACAACATTTAACCTCTAAAATAATATAAACACCACATCTAACCTCTAAAATATTATAAACACAATATCTAGCCTCTAAAATAATATAATATATATATAAACACGATTTAATCGACATAATAATATATTGATTCCTGGATTAATGAATCATTCATGGCAACGTATTCTAATTAATGAACAATTTTTACCTTGTGGTACTTCCCTGATACTACTTCCGTTTCCCATTCTGGTCTGAATAAAATAAACAACATAAGTTATCATTAATACAGAAGGATAACTAAACATTTTGGTCACGTGAACTTCGACAAAAAAGCCTCGGTATTTGTCAGAATGATTTCTCATGATCAAGTGTCAGAATAATAATATAAACACTTTCTATGGCGTCAAATCCACGCTTAAAGTGCATTTGTGCACTTTCGACGCACAGAGAGAGAGAGGGGGGGGGTAACGTCCACTCGACACAAACTAGGTCATTTCGACACTAACATATGATTCAGTTTAATTTCAATAATTCGCTTGTGCGTAGGGTTCTTTATCAGTGGGAGGAAACCGAAGGACCCGGGAAAACCCACGGGGTTGGACAGGCTACCCTATTCCTTGTCATGTACAACCGGGGGAATCGAAACCACGCCAGTTGACTCAATGACAGACATTATTATTCAACGCGCACGCGCTAACGATTTGGCCATCCAAACCCCCACGGTTTAAACAGGAAAGTCTAGATTTAAAACATCCAATTGAAGAAGCACTCTTAGTGAATTGTTGACCCCTGACCCCTGATAACATAACCAAACATATCTCACCTTACGAAATTAGCTCGCCATGTTTCTCCGTCTGACGGGAAATCATTTTCTCTATATATACCAGCAAATAAAGTTTTAAATGGTACGGACATTTCTACTGTCCAAAATTTATCTACAAATATACGTATGTTCTTTGAGTGGCATTTAGCAATATTGACACAAGTAATAAACACAAAACAATAATATGGAACACAATTGTTGTTGTAATTAAAGCGACGTTTCGTTGAGGGTTCTCTCACCGTTTTCCAGCAAACGTCGCTTAAATTAAAACAGTAATTTTAATTAAAGCGACGTTTCGTTGAGAGGTAAAATAAAATAAAACCAAGTACGAACAATCCAAACCATTAGACAAAATTCGAAGTCCTAAAAAAAACGATATAGACAGAATAGTGTAATAAAGCAAATAGTCAGCGTTTTCAAGGGAAGTGATCGCTTTAATTAAAACAGTAATTGTGTTCCATATTATGGTTTGTGTTCATTAAATATTCATATGTTACACTGAAATTCGGAACACGACAAGTTTGGCGACGTGGAGAATTGGAATTTGGGAATACGACAAGTAATTATGAGAATGGAAGGGACCAGTTTGGCGATGTGGAAATTTGGAATTTAGGAACACGACAAATAACTCTAAGAATGGAAGGAACCAGTATGGCGTTGTGGAGATTTGGAATTTGGGAACACGACAATTAATTCTGAGAATAGAAGGGATCAGTTTAGCGATGTGGAGATTTAGAATTTATTCTAACGATCTTGTTTTTAAATAGACATGGTTAAAAGCGAGAAATGGCTCTTACTCTCGGAACTGGGGTCGTTGATTGGTCCATCAACATAAACAGCTCTGCTGACGTCACTTTCCCAAAAACTTAACGGTTCACCATCATTCATGTAAGGCTGAAATGATATGGAAAACTATGATCTTCTGAGAAAACCTGAACAACCAACAAATAGGGAAAACAACAAACGATAAGCTCAACAACTGTATGTAAACAAACCATAATATATAAAAAACAAATTTATATGGAAAACAAACACTGAGTTTATTTCACACTACGTTTCAACAAGTTCTTCTTGCTATCATACTGTTATTACTTTATTGAGAACGACAAGGGGGGCTTGTTGAAACGTAGTGTGAAATAAACTCAGTGAATCTTTTCCATATAAATTTGTGTTTTATATCATACTAGAAGAATGCCCGGCTTCGCTCGGGGGTAATAACCCCGAAACCGGAAGTGGTACACTAACGCCACCTGACCTATGTTACTCCCCGGTCCGAGCTTCCCCTATACCCCAAATTTCAGACTCGGGGCAGACCTAGTGTAGCCGCCAACCCCGAACAGACAGACAAACGACAGTCACAAATATTAGTATAGATGTTCAGTTACTAAATGCCGTATAAGGATTTAAACAAGCCATAATAGGAAATGAAAATATAAAAAGGTTTGTGCCCCCCCCCCCCCGGGTTAATGAAGATGGTCATACGTCTGTAGGGTGCTCTCCGACGTATTTCCAAAAGGCAGGGCAACGTCTTTACGTAACTATCCGCGGTAACAGATAAGCTATACTCACTCTGGTCAGCATCATATCAGAAATTGTACCAAGTGCATTGATGGTAATTTCTTTATATCTGTAAAAGTAATTTGAATGAAATTTTTAATATATTCATTTTTCATATCTATTTTTTAATTGTTATGGCAAGAACGGACAATTCTTTATCTAAATCTTATATAATGTATCGTTAACTGAAGACTAAATATTTCTGTATATAGAGATGACTGAACTTACTCAAACTGATTAAAACACAGATCCTTCTTCGTTTCGTGTTGTGTAGTTCAAAATTTCGTTTTACACGTCTTCACAACACTAGGATCTGAAAGAGTCGTTATATAAGCCGCCTTTCTAGTTCATGTGAGGGATTAGCCAATGAAACGATCTGTTACGGCGAGTTCTTGGCGTGCGATGCGCGGAAATGTGGGTAAACCACTAGAAACGTTAACGCTTGTTGATTAATCAATGTCTAATGTCATAGGGTCAAAAGCCACTCGTATGACCTCTACAAATGGTTAGAACTTCATGTAGTGTGGGCCATTGATAGTATAAAAAAACGAAACGCAATATAGATCTGTAGTTTGATCAGATTGGAGAATAATTAACAATATTTTATCTTACTTATGATTACTCTGTCTTGTATCAAGTAAAATCTGTATAGCATTATCTTGATAAACTAAAATAAAATAAAAATTATCAATATCTTAATTCTCACATAGAATTACATATCTAACTAATGTTTTAAACCACTGTCCCAAGTTTTATCCTACTTATAAGTGCTAATTCTCATATATTATATGTTATGTGTTAAAACCACTGTCCCAAGTTTAATATTTATCGTACCTAGTGTCATTCTCATACATTATATGTTATAAGATACCATAGCTAACTATTGTGTTTAAACCACTGTCCCAAGTTTATTTTTTATCGTACTTATAGTGTCAATTCCCATATATTATATCTTATAAGATACCATAGCTAACTAATGTGTTTAAACCGCTGTCCCAAGTTTATTATTTATCGTACCTAGTGTCAATTCTCATATATTATATCTTATAAGATACCATAGCTAACTAATGTATTTAAACCGCTGACCCCAAGTTAAATATTTATCGTACCTAGTGTCAATTTTCATACATTATATGTTATAAGATACCATAGCTAACTATTGTGTTTAAACCACTGTCCCAAGTTTAATATTTATCGTACTTAGTGTCAATTATCATATTTTTATGTTATAAAATACCATAGCTAACTAATTTAAACTACTGTCCCAAGTTTATTATTTATCGTACTTATAGTGTCAATTCCCATATATTATATCTTGTAAGATACCATAGCTAACTAATGGGTTTAAACCGTTGTCTTGTGTTTAATATTTATTCAACCCTCCCAAAGGTTCTTGTCTATAGTACCCGACACAACTTACAGTTTGCGTAGTTAACTCAGAGAAGCAGACCGGTGGAGAAAGATATTGGCAAGAAACAGCGTCGGGAAGGGGAACGGAAAACAAGCGCGAAACATTACATATAGTAGTTTGATTTCGAGTATGGATAGACGCCGTGTATAAGAAATGAAGTGAAATGGGGTTTAACATTCTACTGCCCTGTTCCGACTGGGCTAATAAAGACGGACATACGTCATACAGTGTCCTATGTGGGACATTTTACCCGGACAGTGGCGCTATGGCATACTCTTTTATCGAATTCCAACTGAAAGGAATCTTTTACGTGCACGCCAATGTGTACACGGGACCTCGGTTTTTGTTGTTCCATCCGAACGACTATAGTATACGTTCTCCCTTGCCTGGCCCTCAGTCCTGCACCACTGACAAGGAGGAACCACTCCGGAAAATTCCGATGAACCTTCTCGGATAACGCAGGGATTGAACACGGGACCTCCAAGTTAGCGAGCCATCGTCTTACTCCCGTAAAAGAACCCTGGCGAATTCCCGATTTCACAAGCCCAGTTGGTGCAGCAAAATAGGAGAGAGAGAGAGAGAGAGAGAGAGAGAGAGAGAGAGAGAAATGGGGTTTAACGTCCACTCGACACAAACTAGGTCATTTCGGGACTAACATATGGTTTTAATTCTTTATTTCAATAACTCGCTTGCGCGTAGGGGTCTTTAGCAGTGGGGGGAAACCGGAGGACCCGGAAAAAAACCCACGAGGTTGGACATACGACCCTACTCCTTGTCACGTACAACCGGGGATTTGAAACCACGTTATGATACAGCGCGCACGTGCTAACCATTCGGCCACCCCCCCCCCCCCAGCAAACTAGGACGCCAACCCTCATTTCGTTTCATTTCCCTTGTTGTAAGTATATATTATATATTTCAATGAAATATTTAGAGAGATGCATTGCCCAATCCACGTGATAAATAAACAGCATGTGTGTAAACAAATAACACATATCACGATTTCCTGTTACATGATTGGCTGCATTAAATCAACATAACACGTTGTTGATGTTTTCACACAGCTAGGGTAACTTAATTTCATTATATAAAAAGTCTTTTTACGAGGTCTAAAACTTCAAGTTTAAATCAACAAAACCGTCAGTAAATAAAGCAAGTAATATATTGAGTCTACGTAACACAGTCACAAGGCACTGCATGAATAACTGAACAGAGAGTCCTGTTAGGGGGTCCTCGTGATTTTGCAGTGAAGTTTCCCCTTGTCAGGGGATCACGTGGCTAAGTGGGTAAGACGCTTGCTCGCTAGCCTGGAGGTTGGGTGTTTGATCCCTGCATTGGTCGAGAAAGTTCATCCAGATTTTCCGGCGTGGTTCCCCCTTGTCAGTGATGCAGGACAGAGGGCCGGACAAGGACAGCTGTCTAGTCCTTCGGAAGAAACGAAAAACCGAGGTCCCGTGTATACATAAGAATGAACGTAAAAGATCCCTTGGCAGTTGGAATTCGATATAAGAGTAGGCGATAGTGCAGCTGCCCGGGCAAAATTTCCCTCATAGCACACTGTATGGCTTATGCCCGTCTTCATTAGCCCAGCATAACAGCAGAACAGTAGGACGTTAAACCCCATTTCATTTCACTTCCCCTTGTCAGTGGTGCAGGACATGGAGGGGAACACACCATCTAGTCGTTCGGATCGGACGAAAATCTGAGGCTCCGTGTACGCGTTGTCGTGCACGTAAACGAACCCTTAACCGCTGAAATTCAGTGAAGAGTATGCTGTCCGGGCAGAATTTCACCCATAGCAGAACATGATTAATTAAATTATTAATTAGACTTTAATTAACTTATCCAGACAATAGCATCGCTAGTCTGCGATATTTACTGGATTAGAACCCGGTCTGCTGTTTCTGATTTAAAAATCAAAAAAAGTGGAAAATCGAGACTATGGGTTTTTTTTATCGTACCGACTTTAGAAATAATGATCGAGGCTAGGCCCAAAATTCAATTGCTAAATACTCGGTTCAGGATGGGTCAATTTGACTGACATTTTCAGCGAATTCCCTTTACATTATCTAGTTTTTAACTATTATAGTGAGAACTACCAGTTCTTTATCCAATCTCCCATAATGTATCTTTAAAATACTTGTTAACTGAGAAACAATATCAATGAATGCACATAACGGGTTTTTTAAAAAGACTTTTGGAGTTTTTATTTTCAAAATGTTGTCGTCAGTTTGAGAAAGAAACATCACGTTCTGTTTGATAGTTGGAATTCGAAATAGGCTCTGGCACCGCCGTCCGGGAAACATTTCCTCCATAGCATACTGCATGGACTAAATCTATTTTTTAGGCTAGCTCCATTTTTGTCAAGGTCGATGAAATGTAAATAAGGTTAGGGCACGTGATTATTGGCGAGATTGTAGCTTAGGTTTAGGGTAAGCATTGGGGCTAGGTCCAGGGTTAGGGTTAGGATTAGTGTTAGCCCTGTTTACATCTTGTGACCTATGGCAAAAAATTGAGCTGGCCTTATCATTTAGCACTAACCCACAGCATGGGGTTATACCAGTCTTTATTATCCTCGTGCAGTAAACTAAAACGTTAAACCTCAATTTACTTGTATTTTATTTCTTTTCCCATGATGAATTCAAGAATCGATACATCTGAACTCTGCAAATTTCAGGTAAGATACGGTGATGTAGATATTTACAAGAATGCGGTGTAATCCACCATTTTTTTTATCATATATTTGATAAAGAAAATCAATAGTAACAAAAATAGAGGAGAAACAAATGTATAGATGTTTCTACACACCGGAAAATACTTGGTCTATTGTTTTATCTGGGATTTTTCTGTTTTTGGGTTTAATCAAGTTTTTCATCAAATTTCAGAATTTAAAAAAAATGGTTGCCCACTTCTCTTCGGCACGGTAAAAACGATTAAAGTCGAGCAATTGCTTGTGGGTTTGGCTCACCAACTAGGGAGTGGGGTGGGGTTCGATCCCGGAGTAGAGCCGAAAAATTTCCCCGACATTTTACAAGTCAGATGTAACGCTTCGAGAGTTGACAAGAAGTATATCGTGCCTAGTCGTTTGGATGGGTCAATAATCCCGTGTACACAACGCCAGTCCAGGCAAAATCCCACCACGCATAGCCCACCTATCCATTGGTATACAAATTACAAATAGTCTCAAAGTTTTGACGGGGATGATAAACCTCATTTCAATTTACCTGTTGTATCGTGTAAACTTCTGTTGGCCCAAACATCTGTCTCTTCCATATAGGCAGCAAAATATAGATGGGTATGATCCCATCGCAGTTTTATCCTCGTCTCAAACTTGGGGGCGGGGAAATTGGGACCTTTTATATCTGTAAATGGTAAGTCAAAACATATTAGGAAAATGACGTGATTATGCCAATCGATTAAAATACACATCTATATTTCGTTTCGTTTTTTTTATATACTTTCGATGGCCTACACTACGGTTGTAGTAGGATGTCGCGCCAGGGGTCATGCGGGTGCTTTTCCCTATGCCGTCAATCATCTGATTAACCAATCATCGTAGGTGATGCAAGTGGGTATTTAGAAATACTACTTTTGCTTTGTTTTGTTTTCTATCTCTGAGAATGTCTACCTACAGTTCCTCGTGCCGCACGATAAATTGGGTCAACCAGAATGTGGGTTATTTAACAAATCTTCAAGATCCTACTGTAGTGAACACAGGTAAAATGATATTTTAAACTACTAAAAAAACGAAATGAAATAGGATCCGTGTTTTAATCAGATTGAATTTAATTTGTAGACATTCCACAGCTGTGAGTTCTGGGTGCTGTTAGCACTCCATTCAAGCTGTGGGTGTCGGTTTGGGATTTCCATAAACTTGGGAATTGATCAAATATTAATTATTGTTTTACAAATATAAAATTTCTTAAATATAAAATTATTTTACCAATAAATAAATCACTCCAATCGACATCTTTCCAAGCTTTTTCATTTAACTTTCCATCGATTGTAATTTTTTCATCACCGGCTAGATGATACACCTGGTAGGTGTTAGGTATAGGAATATCACAGGTGTAAGCACGACATGCCTCCACGTCATGAGCTGCTAAATATCTGAATAAAATAAAACCACAATAATTAGTTAGCTGTGTGAACTCCCTAAAGAGAGAGAGAGACAGAGAGAGAGAGAGGGAGAGATTTTAACGTCTATTCGACACAAACTAGGTCATTTCGGGGCTAACATGTGGTTCAATTTTGTTTCAATAATTCGCTTGTGCGTAGGGGTCTTTGGCAGTGGGAGGGAACACCCACGAAGTTGGACAGGAGACCCTACTCCTTGTCACGTTGATGCGATGAATCGAAACCACGCCACATGAATCAATGACAAATCTTGTGATTTCACGCGCACGTGTTAAAACACTAGACTCTCCCCACCCACCCAATCCCCCCACATAATATATACGCCATGAAATAAAATCAAGTAAGCGCGTATTATATACCTTTGGGGTATACGGGCAGCTTAAGTCGGGGAGAGTCATTGGCCTGGTTTCGGAGTTATGCTACTTCCGGTTCGGTATTCTATCCGTGCAACGCCGGTAAACCTCTAGTTTTTAGACATTGAATTAAATAACGCAAATCAGAATATAAAACCATATGCGGAAATATATGGTAATTTTATCTATGTTGATTCAGCTATGGCCACATGTTTAAAGATGGGGTGGTGGATGGCCGAATGGTTAGCACGTGTATCGTAAGGCCTGTCATTGAGTCAACTGGCGTGGTTTCGAATCCCCGGTTGTACGTGACAAGGAGTAGGGTTGCCTGTCCAACCTCGTGGGTTTTCTCTAGGTCCCCCGGTGTCCTCCCACTACTAAAGAGCCTACACGCAAGCGAATTATTGAAATAAAAGACTAAAACCATATGTTAGTTCCGAAATGACCTAGTTTGTTTCGAGTGGGCGTTAAACCCCATTTCTCTCTCTCTCTCTCTCATGTTTAAAGATACTCGAAAACAATTTCAAATTTTTAAGAAAAAATTATAGATTTGATTCCGGAGTTTTTTTGTTTTTTTTCTGGAATATGTGAAATATTATATAATACACTTTATGACCAGTTTTCATTTAAGCGAACCAGCAAATAAAACCACAAACGATAGCCTACACATATAATGCAACTATTCGTTCTTAAAATATTCGGCCATCTTTAACCTATGAGATATTCCTATTTCTTTTTTTTTATAAATTTTAGAATGTGTCCGTCTCCACAGAATGTTTAATCTACACAAATATATGGCGATGCTTACATTTTCTCAATGACGACGATTACTTAATTTTTTTTTTAATCCATTGTAAATATTCTTTAAGTGTTTTAGTAATCTTTTTCCTGGTTTATGCTTTAAAAAAATACATTTCCGCAAAGCACTCTTGAGAAGCCATCCAACATCTTTCGCCTAATAGGGGATCACGTGTCTAAGTGGGTAAGGCGCTGGCTCGCTAGCCTGGAGGTCGGGTGTTCGATCCCTGCATTTGCCGAGAAAGTTCATCTAGATTTTCCGGCGTGGTTTCCCCTTGTCCGTGATGCAGGACGGAGGGCCTGACAAGGACAGCTGTCTAGTCGTTCGGATGGGACGAAAAACCGAGGTCCCGTGTACACATTGGCGTGCACGTAAAAGATCCCTTGGCAGTTGGAATTCGATATAAGAGTAGGCCGTAGCGCCGCTGCCCGGTCAAAATTTCCTTCATAGCACAGTGTATGGCGTATGCCCGTCTTCAATTAGCCCAGTTTAGGTGCAGAAGAGTAGGACGTTAAACCCCATTTCATTTCGCCTAATAATTATTTCGGATATGTTAAAGATACATTATGTAAGATTTAAATAAAGAGCTGACCATTCTTGTTATACCTGCTCAAAAATAAATAATGTAAAATGAAAATATTGAAAATTTCATTCAAATTACTTTACTCTGAACCAAGTTATCACTGTTTGTAGTTTTGACAAAATGTGTGCATTGTGGTAACCAGGACACTGGTATATTCGAGACTTAGCCTCGCTTTTCCATTTTTAAATTAAATTTTTAAATGGCGAACCGTTCTAAGCTAGTTAAAATCTCTTGTATCCGATGCCATCGAGAGTTGATTATAGTCTTGTGTTGTTATAAATGTCTAATTAATAGTTTTATATACCATTTCTAAATGGCGAACCGTTCTAATCTAGTTAAAATCTCGAGTATCCGATGCCATCGAGAGTTGTTTATGGTCTTGTTTGGTTTATAAATGTCTAATTAGTAGTTTATATAACATTTAAGGCCTAAAGAAAGACCTACAATAGGTAGATTAGCTCTTGCATAATGTGTGTTGAAAGATAGCCGAGTCGAGTACCCAGACACATAAACGAAAACTAATCCAGTAAATATCGCAGGCTAGCGATGACATCGAGAGTTGATTATGGTTTGGATAAGTTAATTAATGTCTAATTAATAATTTAGATAACATTTCAGGCCTATAGTAAGACCTGCAATAAACAGATTTAGCTCTTGCATAATGTATATTTAATTTGACACGTTTCGTACACAAATATTCAAATGTAAATTTTAATAGTTTTTAAAGTTATATGCGATTTTTATTTTTAATGTCAACCTGGTCACATCTTAAACAATATTGACTTTGGGTGGAATACACAATTTTTCGTTAATCTTGTATTGCTTTAGGAAGTTCAAAATGACCTTCTCGCCCAATATAGTCCGAAATATTGTAATCATCCGTGGAGATAATATTTGGAATTTGGAACCGCTCCAATAGATCGGGTCATCAGCAGCAAATTATTTAACTCAAAACGGTTTCTTTCTCAGCTTTGAGCTGTCCCATTTCAAGAAACGTTTTGTAGGAATTCTTAATTAATTCTGCATAGCTTTTGCATGATGAGGATGGGGAAACCGGATTCGGTGAACCGCCCATTTTTCGGGCAATGTATTTCCGTTTATCGGGCACAAACATCAGAGAATGAGACCATACATCAGAGTGTAATTAATTAAAAATAAATGAAAACACCACAGCTTGGTGGAAAATACGTTTGACAAAGAAATTTTTCGGGCAAATAGCCTTAGACACCCCCGCCCCCCTACACACACACACACCAGCTGAGATTGGGCCACTGCGTCGATGACTACCGATTGACGAAAATACATTATTAAAAATAAAAAATAACCACCACAGCTTTGTGGAAAATACAAGTGACAAAGAAATTTTTCGGGCAAATAGCCTCAGATCCCCCCCCCCCACACACACACACACACACACCAGCAAATAGCCTCAGATCTACCCCCCCTCAACGCCCACCCCCGGGCCACCAGCTGAGATTGGCCCACTACGTCGATGACTACCGCTTGACGCAAACAAATTAGGGATAAATTTTACGCTGTTTGAGTGTTTGTTAAAGTTAATAGGTGGATTAAATTAAACTGTTTAACCTGCGACATTAGAATGTAGGAATATTTGACGTATATTGATTCAAGTTTTAACTCTGGGTAAATATATTTGATTTAAAGGGTTAATTAAACAGGGAAATAACTTATACCTTACACTTCCTATCAACATTACAACATCGATATTATTTATGGACGAATAGCCGACCTCTCTTATATTACCCAAACAATTCCTTGAGGGGTCCCACGGGTGCCTTCTCTCTCCCGGGGAGTGCGAAAATTTTGGAAAAACTGACTGTGAAATGGTGCTTTCTAGAGTATATCTTTTACATTACCCAAACAGTGCCTTCAGGGGTCCCACGGGTGCGTTCTCTCTCCCTGGGAGTGCGAAAAGTTTGAAATAACTAACATGCTTTTGAGAGTATATCTTTAATATTACCTAAGCAGTGCTTTGAGAGGCCCCATTCTAGGGGACCCGGGTTGTTTCTCTTTTCCCGGGAGAGCCAAAATTTTGGGAAAATTGACCGTTAAATTGTGCTTTCTAGAGTATATCTCTAATATTACCCAAGCAGTTCCTTGAGAGGCCCCATTCTAGGGGATCTGGGTTGTTTCTCTTTCCCCGGGAGAGCCAAAATTTTGCTAAAATTGACCGTTAAATTGTGCTTTCTAGAGTATATCTCTAATATTACCCAAGCAGTGCCATGAGGGACCCCACTCTAGGGGGTCCGCGTGTGTTCTCTCTCCCCGGGAGCGCGAAAATTTTGGAAAAATTGAGCGTTAAAATGATGCTTTCTAGAGTATATCTCTAATATTACCCAAATAATGCCTAGAGGGTTCCCACTCTAGGGGGTCCGCGTGTGTTCTCTCTCCCCGGGAGCGCGAAAATTTTGGAAAAATTGACCGTTAAAATGATGATTTCTACAGTTTATCTCTAATATTACCCAAATAACGCCTGGAGGGGCCCCACTCTAGGGGGTCCGCGTGAGTTCTCTCTACCCGGGAGCGCGAAAATTTTGGTGAAATTGAAAGCTAAATGGTCCTTTCTAGAGCCTAGCTCTTATATTACCCAAACAATGCCTTGAGGGGTCCCAGTGCTTAAGATATCTTTAAACAAAGGCCTTAAAACCTCTAGAGACTGCTGACCATAAACCGTCAAACATAATATATCAATGGATAATCTTACCCATTCATCAAAACCTCTAACCCCAATCTACATATGACGTCATGTGTGCTAAACCGTCTTCGATCTAGCGTTCTCCTGTAAATTCAGGAGGAAAAAGGGTCCCCAAAACTACGCGAGAATTTTACCTCTTTAGGGGCCCCATAGCCTACCATACTCGCTGGTAACTTCCCGGTCTATCCATTAGTGCCAGTAAGGTAAAAGTCCATTTATGAGTGTCAGTTAGGTAAAACTCCACCCCTTAGTGCCAGTTAGGTAAAAGTCCATCCCTGAGTGTCAGTTAGGTAAAAGTCCATCCCTGAGTGTCAGTTAGGTAAAAGTCCATCCCTGGGTGTCAGTTAGGTAAAACTCCACCCCTTAGTGCCAGTTAGGTAAAAAGTCAACCTAGCAGGGAGAGAATCTGGGTCCACGTCGTAATAAGCCCTCTTGTCATTCCAAATAAGATACAAAACGAAATGAAATGAAATAGGGTTTAACGTCCTACTTTTGCAGGCTAATGCAGATTGGCATATTATGCCATACAGTGTGCTATAAAGGGAATTTTACCCGCTGTGACCTACTCTTCTTTCGTTTTCAAGATGTCCGATCTTTCATTTGCTGCCAATGGTAAAAATGGGACATATATTTCGTTCCATCCGAAGGACTAGACGAATGTTTTTCGCCGGCCCCTCTGACCTGAACTTCTGGCAAAGACTATCTATACATTCTTTCTCGGCCAACACCGTCAGGGATCGATCCCGCTAGCTCTTAGTTAAAACCGAACTGCCGGACCAGAAATATTTGGAAAATAATGGTCCTACTAATTACCGACAAGGTCCGACGAGAGCGAAAAACCGAGGTCCCGAGTACACATTGCTGTGCACGTAAAAAAAAAATCCTTTGCAATGGGAATTCGATATAAGAGTAGGCCGTAGCGACTCAGTCCGGGCAAAATTTCCCCCATAGCACAGAATAGTAGGACGTTAAACACTTTTCATTTCATTTCATTTCCGACGAGAGCGTGTTTTGGTCAATAGCTCCCAAATTATTGCAAAATGTGACCGTCAAGGACAGATATGTGCAGTATGGAGGGCCTGACAAGGAGAGTGTTTAGTCGTTCGGGTGGCACGAAAAACCGAGGTCCCGTGTACACTTTGGCGTGCACGTAAAAAAAAAAACTTAACAGTTGGTTTAGATCATAAGGTCTACCATTGATGTCATTGGGGTAAGAGCCGTGGTGTCGATTTCGAGCTAAAGACCCATACGCCAAAGCTAATTATTCAATAAAATAGAATCATATATTGGTCTCGAAATGACCTGGCTTGTGTCGAGTGGACGTTACCCGCCCCCCCTCTCTCCCTCTCTCCCTCTCTCTCTCTCTCTCTCTCTCTCGCTCTCTCTCTCTCTCGGGTTAAATTGTACTTCATGTTTCTATTTTATCAGAAACTGAAACCCTTAGTGTCTTTAATATGACGGTAATATGACGGTTGCCTTTGTACCTGATTTGTTTATTCTTAAATTGGAATATATATATATATTTTTAAAAGCACGTGTCTTACTTTTTAACTTCCGGTAAGTCTCGAGCTGCATCACCACAATTCTCTAGAACATGAGCAAAAGTCTGATTATTTGTGTCTACAAAGAGTTCTGATGTTGAATTGTTTGTGATGGCTGGTCGCAATAAATATCCAATAATTAATCCAGCTCCCATAGCAAGCGCGGCAATAACTGCCGTCACAACGATAGCAGACGAGGATGCACTCAGCGCCATCTTGGAAAATTCACAAAAAGGCCTATTATTCTCTTCTACGTAGTGTTAATTGAAATAATTGTTGAACCATGTGAATGAAAATAAATAACACAACACGCACTATACTATGCGGGGAATCCCGTAGCTTGTTACACAGTTTACTATCTAAATATGTCTCACGCCGCTTTAAATATCTGGCCTAATATGACGTCATAGTTACAAGTTGGCGTGAAGCGGTGGGACGTGTAATGTCGACTTCACGCGAGATTTCACAACAAACCAAGGATGGTGAGTGACTGCAACTTTGTTCACTGGAGTCGAGATCACGTCAATCGTCGACGAGACGTTGTTTTAATTCCCATCGTAGCGAAATCTGCACACTTGAAGAGAATGTTGAAGAGTTAGATACGCCTGCTAAATCTGCAGAGTTCTCCAAATCGCACACAAACTTCAACAAAACTTACAATAAAAAGGATTGTTCTTTGAGAAGATTTGTGTAATCGTATTGTTTCCATTGTTTAGTTTTATTGTTGTAAATGATACTTAAAGACAAAGGGAAGATAATGCTAAGACTATTACTATATTTACACAGTACTTCCTGCATTCTATCTAATTCCTATCATCATGGTGACACGTTCACCTGGGGTTATACAGGTGAAAAAATTTAATAAGAATCATCTTGTAGCGTTACTGATTAATTTGGAGAGAGAGAGAGAGAGAGAGAGGGAGTAGCGTTACTGATTAATTTGGAGAGAGAGAGAGAGATAGAGAGAGAGAGAGAGAGAGAGATAGAGAGAGAGAGTATGGGGTTTAACGTCCACTTGATGTACAGGTATAAATGTAATGACATGTAGTTTTAGGTGTAAGCAGTAATGGACTGGGGATCGAAGGTAATTATACAAATTCATGAATGAAAACCGACGTTAATTCCAGACTAAAATAGGCCCCAAACTCCAAACTACCTGAGAACTTTTAAACTTCTTTATGAGTCCCCGGCCTACCATAATGGCAAGCAGGTTGGGCCACGCAATTCTTACTACCGACCCTCCAGCTTCTGTTCAGTCCATCCCTGGTAAAAGAATGATGTTGTTAGGCTACTAATGTTTTTGTTATTTTGAATTTGTCAAATTGAAATAAAGAGGGATTTACCTGCCTACTTTTCTGCACTCGCTAACGAAGATGGACTTTAGAGACATGCAAAGAAAGGAAATGTGATTTAACGTCCTAGTGTTCCGCAACCTCTGGGCTATTCAAGACTGACATACCATATTGTGCTATGGGTAAAATTCTGTCCACACCACGGCGTTTCCGCCTGCTCCTCTTTTAATTCCATCTTCCAATGGTTCTTTTACGTGCACACCAGTTAAATTTTCCCCTGACACAATCCTGGGAAGTGAAAATACGAGAATGTCCGTCTCGGCCCACGTCGGGATTCGAACCTGGGATATTCTAGTCGAGAGGCCAGACCCGTACCGCTTGATTACCGACTTTTGAATAGTATCTATGGAAAGGTTAGCTCATATGGATTTTCCGGCGTGATTACCGCATGTAAGTGGCGCAGGACAGAGGGCCTGGCAAGGGACGAAGACCCGAGGTCTCTTGTACACATTGGTGTGCACGTAAAAGAACACTTGGCAATTGGAATTCGATATAACACTTGTTTATAGCGCCGCTGTCAAGACAAAATTTCCCCCATAGCACACTGCATGGCGCATGCTCGTCTTCATTAGCCCAGCCGGATCAAGATTTCATTTCCTGTTAAGTTTAGAGAGAGAGGGAGGGGGGGGATAGCGTCCACTCGACACAAACGAGGTCATTTCGGGACTAACATACTTCTTGTCACGTACAACCGGGGATTCGAACCCACGCCAGTTGTCCATCCAACCCCTCTCTGTTAAGTTTATATGTCCGTGTGTTATAGTGATGTTTGTTAGTGTAGGAGTACTGGTAAATATAGGCTAGGTGTTACCCTATACATGTTTGTTGACTGGTAAATCAAACTTTGTTGTCTGGTTCTGGGTGAGGAATGTGTTAATATGAACACACACGACCGTTACCTGTCCTAATTCAATTAATTAGATTAACACACAGGTGAGAGCGATGGCTCTTTTAGTTTGCTATACCTGGGGTTTTCTCAGTTATGTGGTCAATTGCCAAACGTTAGTGATAGAATGTTGACCTATACTCAAAATACCCTCAAAACTAACGCATGACCACACCCTGAAATAAAATGAAATGAAATGGAATCAAGTTTAACATCTTTCTGTTCTGCATCAATCGGAGTAATGAGGGCGTATATACATATGTTACAGATCCCGTTACAGAATTATAGTGAAAGAGCAAAATTGTTTAAATCCCTGACCCTTTTCCCTGCGATTAATGTGCACACCCTATTGTGGGGAGACAGCAATTTACCCGACCACCAAAACAACTCATTATTCGAAAAAGTGTGTTCATATATAAAAGCAACTAAACGTTTTAAATGGTGTTTGTAAGCTGTGTTCATTTGTACCTTGTTCATTACTGTTTGTTCTTTTATTTGTCTGTTATTTATTATGTATATTAGATCGGTATTTGTTACAGCTCACAATTCTTCAAGTGCACTGCACTATTTCTCTGTTTATGGCATATCTGACAAACTGTGGTCATTTTAAATAAAAGTACTCTTGTCCGTGTTACAAACTGTGACAATTTTTTTAACGTTTCGCGTATCTACCACCCGGTGCACATTTCAAAATATTCACACTGAAGTCATTTTCCTTTACAAAAGGTCGCCATTTAATTAGCCGTTAAGACTCTACAAGAAAAACAGGTTTAATGGCTGACATTTTAAGTTTTAAAAAAAGATTCATGTTAGGATTGTAAATCTGTTTGTTTGTCGTCCTATTAGCGTGTATTGTTTGGCATTTAAGAAAGACTTTGTTTTATCTTAAAATACCCTTACATTGGTTGACTGGAAAACTTTAAATGCTTAAATGTTATTTGGGGTCTTTTGTTGTCTTTTATGTCGGTGTCTTTGGCATAGAGGGTCAATCTTCTTGGGTAGACTGACGTTTCACGTGGACCTAGGGTTAGGGGCCTTTGGAATTATGTTCCCATGATGGAGGTCATAAATTGTTGTCTTTTATGTCGGTGTCTTCGGCATGGACTAGTGGGTCACTCTTCTCGGGTAGACCGACGTTTCTCGTGGTCCTAGGGTTTGGGTCCTTTGGCATTTATGTTTCCATGTTGGACGTCATAAATTTACCGAACGGTAAAAACGGATTGCCGTTGATCTTCTTATAATTCGTGATAAATATCGTCTTCTAGGACGTAATAATATTCAGTCGGCCACAGAGGTTAATAATAAGGACATTCAATCTGCCATAGGTCAGAGGGCATTCAATCAGCCACAGAGGTTAATAAGGGCATTCAATCGGCCACAGAATTAAATGGCACCATACCCTGAATTAAATGGCATCTATTAAAAACGCGTACGTGATCAACTGGTACTACCAGATTCAATACCGGGAGTCCGTCTTCATTAGCCCGTTCGGTGCAGAACAGTAGGTCGTTAAATCCCATTTGATTTCAATACCTGGAGAACGTGGTTTGATTAAACAAAAAATGTCTGATGGAACATTTAGCGGGGCTGGGGTGGCTTGTGGTTGTGGTTTCGATCTCTAGTGTGTGCGTTTGTGGTTTGGCAATAGGTGCGCCTTCCCTACCTCATGGGTTTTAGGTGCGCCTTCCTAACCTCGTGGGTTTACGCCGGGTACTCCTGTTTCTTCCCACATGATTATACTAAAACAAGACAACTGGTCTATCATATCAAACTGGATAAACCAATAAGTAAAATAAGCACGTGCTTAGGGCATCATGAGAAGAGGGGTACCACAGAATTTTTGCTTTGTTAGATGACGAATTCAAAATATTTAATCTAAAAATTAATTAAAAACCTTTAATTAGTTTTTCATTGTTCTTTGTCTTTTCTTACTGTTACCTGTTTCAATATATAATGACCATGTGCTTGGCGTATTGTTTATGGTTTATTATTGTTTCCATTTTGAATTGTATACTATATGGGGGCGAATGGTTAGCGTGTGCTTTGTATCATAATTTCTATCATTGAGTCAATTGGCGTGGTTTCCATTCTCCGCTAATACGTGACAAGGAGTAAGGTCGCCTGTTCAACCTCGTGGGTTTTCTCCAGGTCCCCCTGGTTCCCTCCTACTGCTACGCGCAAGCAAATTATTGAAATAAGGTTATAGCATGTGTTAGTCCCGAAATAACCTACTTTGTGTCGAGAAGACTTTAAACTCATTTCTCGCTCTGTCTCCCGTATTTGACCTAGTATTTGTCGAGTAGATGTTAAACCCTATTTCCCACTCTCCCGAAATGACCTAGTTTGTGTTGAATGGATGTTAAACCTTATTTCTCGCTAACTCTATCTTAATTAAAATTTGTGTTGCTATACTACATGAAGATATTCCCATTTATTATCGATGGAATTCTGTATGAAGTTTGAACTAAATCAAACGTTTGTCTCATTGGCTAAATGTGAAACGTTGTATATTGTATGGTGTATATGTTCGCAGCATGAACCAAAATAGTACAGTAAGTGAGAAACACTGCATGTATTAAAGGGCCAATCTCCAGGGGCGTTTTAAGGTTTATCATGGCGGAGGCTATACTATTTTGAGGGCCCTCTTTCGCGGGGGGGGGGGGGGGGAGCGTGTCTGCCCCCGGCCACCGGAGGTCGAGGAACATGTTGGTGCATTCTTACATATCCTCGAGGCCTGTTCATTCTGAGGTCCGGTGCCTAATCCGATACTTGTCTGAAGCCTGAATGCGAAACAAATCCCTTGTTCGTACCGTACCGGGAGCTCAATCAAATAATAATTAATGGAATATGGTGGATTTCAAATAATATTTGACCAAAGTTCAAGGACGTTACATCTTCCAGTTAGACGACATCCTTCTTTCTAGCCTTTCGGCTCGCGAAAGTTTTGATGATTTCATCCAAATTAATCGAATCCAGAAGATTAGCTTCAATGCACAATAAAGCTAGTGCACCCATGCGATCTTGCCCCATAGTTGAACGCAAATGATTTTTTATCCGCGCTAAGGCGGAAAAAGAACGCTCACCCGAGCAATTGGTGACCATGATCGACAAATAAATACGCAAT